CGATTTTGTTTATCTTTTCGAAGAACAAACTTTTTGTTTTATTAATATTCTGTATAGTTCTTTTGTTCTTGATTTCATTTAGTTCTGCTCTGATCTTGGCTATTTCTTTTCTTCTGCTGGGTTTAGGATTGGCTTGCTCTTCTTTTTCCAGTTCCTTGAGATAGTTCCTTAGTTTGTTGATTTGTGGTCTTTCTGTCTTTTGGATGTGGGCATTTAAGGCTATAAGTTTTCCTCTGAGGAATGCTTTTGCTGTATCCCACAAATTTTGATAACTTGTGTCCCTGTTATCATTTAGTCTGAAGAATCTTTGATTTCCATCTGGACCTCTTCCTTGACCAGTCATTTGGCAACAGATTGTTCAATTTCCATGTCTTTGTGTAGAGATGAGTGTTTTTGTTGGAATTGATCTCTAATTTTATTCCACTGTGGTCTGAGAAGATACATGGTATAATTTCTATGTTTTAAAATTTGTTGAGATCTGTTTTGTGGCCTAGGATGTGATCAATTTTAGAAAAAGTTCCATGAGCTGATGAGTAGTACATATATTCAGTGTTGTTTGAGAGGAATGTTCTTTAGATGTCTGTTAGGCCCATTTGTTCTAGAGTTCTGTTTAAGTGCATTGTTTCTATAAGCCCTGGCAATTAATCATTCATCAAATATTCAAGGGCCTATTATGTGTTACACTATAAAGCATACAGTAGAATCTCTTCATGTACATGCATGAAAAAAAGCAAAAGTAGGATAGAAAGTGCTAAGTATCTGCCATGTGCCCACAGCCCCATTCTGAATAAATCAGTCTCAAGGGGTTGTTTTTACATAAAAGTATTATACTTTCTTCCATTGCATTAAATTAAGTCAACTCTGCTACCCTTGCCACAACTGAATTGATCCAGGGATTGGTATCTGAGCCGAATACAATCATGGATATATTCAAGCTCTAACAAAGAGAGGTCACAGTCTCCTGGTGGGCTTAGCTTGAGACATATAAGTTCTTTTTAAGAAATACTTCTATTGTATTGTTATCCCAGTATCAGAAAGGTCAAAATTTGAGAGGAAATGTTAAAGACATTTTCAGATCAAAGAAACACATTATTAGGCATACTCTAAAAATATAGACTACTGAAACTCAGATTGTGCTCTGAACAATTCTGTGCTATTATTTTAGTTCTCCGTGAGCCTGCTACATAGGCTAGTCTAATAAACCCTGGGACTCAAAGTGATAATCTGTCTGTATAGACACCATCCTCAGTTTCTTTATTCCCTTCACTCCTAAAACAAACCCCTATTACCATGAGGATTTTGGGAAAAAAGCTGCTACAGCTTAAGCCTATATTGAAAGTGGATAAATGGCATCTAAAAGACATAAGACAAAAGCATCTGATAGATGTAATATTTGAAATTGAGAAAAAAAAATCCATTCTTCAAATAATGGGATACATGGGTAGAATGAGGATAAGGAGAAATTTCAAAAAGGATGAGATGGTTTTAGGTTAAAAAAAAAAGATGTAAACAAACAATAATGAGATTAAGAGAGTCCTCTAAGCATCTAAGAGGTATCTCATGCCAAATAGCAAGAGCAAGGAAATAATAGATTGAAAGACAAAATCGAAGCTGATCTTTAAACACACACATGTGGGCTCATGAATACACTTACAGAAAACCAAAAACTGATTAGTTACATCTAAATATTTTCTTTTTCATCAATATTTTTTTAAAAAATGGAGTATATTTTACTTTATCTTTTCATAATAAAATATTACAAAAAGCCTCATAACTATGATTTCATACCTGATAATATTTCAGCTGCCCATTTAGCGCTTCTAGATGTTTTTCGTACTCAGTAATAAGAGGAGCTACACAGCTAAAGAAAAAAATACAGAGTAAAAATGTAGCATATTCTGTTCCATCTAGTATAATAAACATATAACACGTAAAATAAATTATACATCAAAAATTTTATGTTTAATTTACTCATAGGACTCAATATTTTGCCTTTTTTCCTAAACCAAGGTTTTTAAATCTTTATACAATTAATAGTTTAGGCTGAAAAATTATTTGTGTGCAGTGGCTGGCCTGTGCATTGTAGGATGTTTAACAACATCCCTGGCCTCTATCCATTAGATGTCAGTTGCAGATTCA